GCACACTCACCAAGCACATACAGCTGTGTGTCCTCAGCTTCTCTGTGGCACACACCGGGGGGGGGGTGTCTGCATGTTTCAACACTCCAGACCCTGTTATCATCACCGCCCCAGCCCCGCCGCCATATCTGAGGACATGTTCAAATAAATCACTCGGTTACAAAATCTCACTTCCTTCTTGTCCCCTATTCGCTAACCAGACACCTGGCTGCCCCACAGACCCAGGCACCCCGGAGAAGCTGGGACCCCAGGGTGCCTCCCTCGAGGTGGCAGGGACCGGGGGCAACCTTATCCTCACGCTTCTCTGTGCTCTTGAATTTTCTGCATATTGGTGGCTTTTTCAAATTTCTTTGAGGGTTTTCTACAAAGAGCATTTGTTACTTCTATAAGCAGAAAATAAGCATGCTAAATATTGCCCTTTTTTTTAACACAAATTAACATGTGTGTTACATGGTTTCTGAAAACCACTGAACCCCCTTGCATGATAGTTTCCTATGCATGCTATTCATGTTGTATGCATGTGTGCTAGTCTCCTACATGTGTTGTACATGTTGTATGCATGTGTGCGCTAGTGACACCAGCACATGGTTTGCAGGGAATATGATAAAGACTAGAAGCGAACACATCGCTAACAGCTACCACCTGGAGAAGGAGGGTTATTGTTGCTATTTTTATTCCTGATTATCTTCGTAAAGCATCTTCAACCATCCCACAGTAAAACCAAAGTATTTTTACAGCAATGAAGAAACTTAATGTATTCTAAAGAAAAACCACTGGAGGAAATATATAGACACATACATGTACACACATGCACACACACACAGTGCACAAACATGGAGACACAGCGATGCACACACAGACACGTGTGCACGCAAACATGGATGAACAAATGCACACACATGCACACACAGACACACGACACACACAAATACACACATACAAACACACAGTCACATATACAAATACAAATACACATGAAGATATGCATACACACAAACATGGACAAACACACATGTACACACCCAAATAAAAATACAGAGAAACACGTGCACACATACAAACATGGACAAACCCATGCACACACGCACACACAAATAAAAATACACATACATGCATATATACAAACATGGACAAACATATACATGCACACATACAAACACACATATATAAACACACACAAACATGGCAAACACACACATGCACACAAATATAAATACATGCAAAAATGCATACACACACATGGACACACACACAAACATACACATGCACACGTGCACACCTGGGCCACCCCCGCCAGGTCCCAGGTGCACACCTATAGGATTATCTTTGGTGGTGGGACTGTAGGTGACGGCTGTGTTTAACTTTCTGCTTTTCTTAAGATTCCAAATCATCTAAATCCATCAAATAACTGGTTTAAAAACTTTTTAAAGTTTCCACCCACAGGAGTGAATATTCTAAATCAACAAACACAAAACACACATTGTATACACACACACATTCTCACACACACATTGCACATGCCCCATGCACCATATCATACTATACCACATACACACCACACACCACCACACACTCACACATACCATGTACACACATCACACACATACAACTCACTTATACACCATACACACATATACCATACACCAGCACACTTACACACCTACACCACACACACTCACACACACATTAACACATAGGTACATCCTCCACACACCCACCTCCCCCGCACACACCACACAAGTCCACACTACCCCCCTGCACACACCATCCACCTCCACACACACTCACACACACCTCCCCCGACACACCCCTGACCACAGCTGTTTAGCTCTGAGATGCCCCTGGGGGCCACACTTCACTTCCAGCTGCTGGTCTGGACCAGGAAGGGTGTGGCCCCTACTTTGCGCTCTGCCTCAGTCGCTCACCTGCTCCTGCCGCACCACAAACAGGACGTCCTCGCCGGGCCGCACGGCCACCGCCTCGCCTTGGATGCTGACCCGCAGGCCTCGGGGCGGGCTCAGGGAGCACTGAAGGGGCACTGTGGCTGGCTGCAGGTCCACACCGCCCGCACAGACATTGGACACCACCTTCCGGTACCTGCGGCCACCAGAGGGGTCGGGCCAGGGTCAGCTAGTGGGCACAAGGTCCGCCACCTGGGCGGGTGCTCCACGCAAGCGGGGGTGGGACACGGGCCTCTGCATCCCGCGACGGTGCCCGTGAGCCTCCAGACTCGTCTCCTGTCCCCTTTCAAAGATGAGGAAACTGAGGCAGGAGAGGGCGTGTGCCACTCACCCAACCTTCCTGGCAGCCTCGGACGGCAGCAACAATGCCAGCCGTGGTCCTGCCCCTGACGGGCGCCCTAAGGAGTAGCCCATCCTCCATGGCCCTGCTGAGGCTTGAGAAGGGCTGGCTGCAGTCTGGCCTCGGTGTCCCTTTTACCCTGAGGGTGTGCGCCGGGGAACACTGGCTCCTCCTTCACACACCTTCACTGAGCATCTACAGGCACCAGGTGCGGGCACACAGGTGCACACACAGCCCCTGCCTCTGTGGGCCACTGCCTGGGGGGGCAGGCCACCCCCAACGTGAGGTGCAACCCAACTGTGGGAAGCTTGGGGTGGGGTGGCACCGGGGATCCTGGGAGAGGGAGCAGGAGAGGGGAGCCCCGGAGGCTGGACAGTGTGTGCAAAGGCCCTGGGGTGGCTGGAGCCCAGACAGGCTGATGTGAGGTGAGCTGAGGCCGGTGGGCAGTGCCCAGTGACCTTGGGTCACTCACAGGAGGCCAGTGGAAAGCCACCGGGGGTGGGGGGCATAGTCTGATTTGTGACTTGCAAAGCCCCCCAGGTTCTCTGGGCATTTAAAGTAACTCCCTGCGCCCAGGCAAGCTTGGGGCCCCGGAGCTTGGGGCCCCGGTGCACAAAGGCATCGTATTACAAGCACTGGAGGCATCTCGCCCTCCGGCCCGGCTGTTGCAGGTGTGCCTCCTAGGTGTCACGGAGCTCACAGGCCAGTGACGGGGGTGTGTGTGTGTGTGCATAACCGGATGAGCGATGGCAAGAATGGGTGTGACACCAGCACAGAGTGAGCTCAGGGCCCGGGTGGGCAGTCAGGGAAGGCTGCCTGGAGGAGGCACCATTGGTACACCTTCCTGTCAGTGATTGAGTCGTGGGCCTGGCACCACCGGGCTGACACGGGCCAGGGAGCATGCTTCTCTGGGAGGCTAACACCTGGCCCTGCTGCAGCCCCCAGCAGGGATGAGCGGGCAGCTCCCAGCACCTCCTCTGTCCCTGTTCTCTGCTCAGAGCCAACTCCCGGCCCCTTCCCCACAACACTGGTCATGTGGGCTCAGATCAGCCACTCCGTGGTATCCCTTTGGCCTGGGAGCCCAAGTCCCCACAATGCCTGCTGACACCTGCCAGCCTTACAAATAGAACTACACTGCCCCTGACTACCCCCAGACCCCGCAGGCTCTGCCCACTCACCCAGGGCTGCTGGTGTAGGTCTGGCCCAGGGCACAGTCGTCTGGGGGGGACGCCGGGTCAAACCAGAAGTTGGCCAGGCACTTGCTGACATTGGACTCCGAGGACGGGGCACGCTCAAAGCCGTAGTCACTGGGAGAAGAGAAGGACAGAAGTGAGGGGGTCAGAACAGGCCTGGAAGGGGGCTGAGGCGGGGGGGCTGGGGACACAGACAGGAATCCTCAGGTCTGACAACAAACTGACAGCGAGGTGCCAGGTGGTAAGAGACACAAAGAGTGGTCCTGGAGGGCTTCCTAGAGGAGGAGGGCCAGGGCAGAGAGGCGGCGCTGTGGGGAGGCTAGAATGGTGGCGGGCTGATCTTCAGTGCCCCCTGGAGTCGGGACTTGGTGACTCGCTCGCTGCTGTGAAAACAGTAAGGCCGGACTGATGGCATGTGCTCTGAGAAAACGCAGGAGGCCCTGCCTGGTTCTCCTGGATGGCTCCTTGGAGGGGGTGAGGGGTGGCGGCCATCCTGAGGAGGCTCACGCAGCCCTGTGAGGCCCGGTGAGAGGACTCAGAGGATTTCTTACCAGAGGAAGTCTGAGTCCCTGCACTCGCACACACGGGACGTGAGTGCCGATGTGAAACTCCTCCCCTTGATGCACCAGGATGTGGGCTTCCTCTTCCGGAAACTTCTCTGTTGGCCCATGATGCAGCGGTCGCCCTGGGGTGGAAAGGTCAAGGTCAGCAGTTGGCTGGAGGGCCGGCTGCTCCGTGTCACTGTGTTCTGTGGGTCTTTTCTGTCTCCCATATGGCTGACCCTAATTCCGAGCAGCAGTCGGGGGGTGTCCCCTACATAAACGTGGAAACCGAGGCCCAGAAGGGGAGCGTGAACCTGAGGTCCAGCTGAGGCAACCTCCCTCTCATCCAGGTCCGTGAGCGTTCACTGAGCACCGTGTGCGAGCCCCGGCTGGGCCCTGAGGGGCCACAGCTCCTTTGTCCCTCAGACCCCGAGGACAAGCTACAGCCTCGGTTGACTACACGGGGGACCCACAGGGGGTCCTCAGCACCCCGACAGTTCCAGAGCCCCCACTGTGAGCGCCCCGAGTTCATCACACCTCAGGCAGCGGAGCCTGAAGTGTGGGTGCTTCCTCGGGGCCTTTGATTCCCCTTGGGGGAAGATGTACATTTGACTGAATAAACAGTTCTGTGTTTGAGATTACTGGGGGGCCCTGCCTTGCTGGAGAGTTTGAGATTGGGGTGTTCTGTCTCACTGGAGTGTCTATGACACTGGGGGACCTGGACATCTGAGGGGGACTTCTCGGAACAGGAGCCATGCAGAGCCAGGAAAGGGGCCTGCGTCTCCCCTTTCAAGTGTCTGCCCCCCCAGGTGCCTGTGTCAATCCCCCCAGGCCTGCATCCCACCCCTGGGTGCCCCCGTTATGTCCCGCCGCAGGTGCCTGTGTGTCCCCCCACCCCGTGCCCACATCCTCCCAGGTGCCTGCGTCGCCCTGTGGGTGCCTGCGTCTCCCCCCACCCCGTGCCCACATCCCCCCAGGTGCCTGTGCCGCCCTGTGGGTGCCTGTGTGTCCCCCCACCCTGTGCCCACATCCCCCCAGGTGCCTGTGCTGCCCTGTGGGTGCGTCTCCCCCCACCCCGTGCCCACATCCCCCCAGGTTCCTG